AGACAATCCAAGCCCCCCCCCCCGTCTGATTATGTCTCCCCTTATTATCCATTGTAGTCCTTATTGATTTCCACAAGCTAGTTAAGTAGGTTATTCGATGTTTCCCTCTGGCTCACTTACCTTCAATATGCCTTGTGAGTTTCAGTTTCCAAAGCCCTCTTTCCTCTTTTATGTGTTCTAGAAATTCCAACTGTCTTTCTGATTTCAAGCGCCCTTTTTGTTTCCATTTTCTTCTTAAAACCACCTCGTTCCTTACACGCTCCGTCCATGATATTCTCAGTATCCTTCTGTAGAGCCAGTTGCCTGAAGTTTCCTCTTCATCTGTAAGGAAATTATCCAGCCATATAGAAAATTTGGTATTACATAACGGTTCATTACTCTTTACGGCAAATCTGTAAAAGTGAAGATTTTGTTTCTTCCTTTAACCGTTCGTTAGTATCGTGGGGTCTTTGAACACCCCCCCCCCTTGAAATATATGTCCCTAATGTTTAACAAGTGACAAGTCAAAGATTTAGGATTAGCCAAGTAGCTTTGTGAATTTACATTGTCAACTAGCTACAAGAAATCAATATTTGTGGGATTTACAAGCATATGACCATAAACTAGTAATAATATAAGAGTCTACTGGATATAATGTGGGGGATTGATTTTCTGTTATTATCAAGTAATAAACTGGACCCCCAAATTACTACATAGTAATATAATTGAAAAAATATTTTAACCTCTATTGCTAGTATAAAGTGGGGGATCGATTTTCTATTATTATCAAGTAATAAACTGGTCCCCCAGAATTACTACATATGAATACAGTAAGTGAAAAATATTTTTAATACTCCGTTTGTACCGTGACGTGTATGAAGAAACAACCAAATGTTTTTTTCCTTAATATTTTGTGATTGGCAAGCAAAAATGTCCTTGTATACATTGTATACAAAGGTGTGTACGCCATATGCACACGCATTGTTGTCTGTGTTTGTGGGCAAGGAGGGAGATATTTAGAAATCTAATGTGCGTGTGTGTACTGAGGGACACACGGGGCAGATTTACACGTTTTCTGATGTCCCGCCAATCAAATGAATAAGCACACACACAGACACACTGAAAGAGTTTCAAACACCGTGTGTGTTTTCTTACCATGTAGGTTCCTGCATTTTGGTCTATGATGATGATGATGATGATGTCAATTCGCTAAATTGAAAGATGACATATTATATTAGGTTGTCACACATGAAATGACACTTTGTGGGGGGGGTTGATGCAGTCATTTAATGAAGTAACCTTCTTAGTAGATAAGAAAATCTTGATTTCTTCCTGATTCTTTTTCTTTCCAGATAATTCTTTTTATTTCAATCTCTTGTTACTCATAAGCCCAATGAAAGTGATTACAATGAAACAATGTCAAGTAATCTTTCTGTACGAATACAAACTGGGGGGGGGGAAGAACCATTTTTGCATCAAATCATTACATGCGATGAGAAATGGATACTCTTTGACAACAGTAAGAGAGTAGGCTAGTGGTTAGATGCAAGTGAATCACCAAAACAATATCCAAAACCTAAAACCTAAGAAGTTCATGATTAATGTATGGTGGTCTTTCAAAGGGGTTATTCATTATTCATTCTTGTCTCAAGGGAAAACAATAAAAGCAATCTTGTATTGTAGAGAAATTGAGTGTATACACGAAAAATTCAAAAGGAAACATCCTTGACTTGTGAATAGGGATAACCCAATTTTGCTGCACACGGCCGTTCGCTTCTCAATCAACTGTCCAAAAACTGCACAGCCTGAATTCTGAAAATTTGCCTCATCCTCCATATGCACCTCATATCTCTTCTACTGATTATCACTTATTTAAGAATTTTGAGCTTTTCATACCAATAAAACCGTCTACAATAAGGAAGAGCTCATAAAAATATTTGAATTTTTTTTATTACATCAAAGGATGATAACAATTATTCATCAACATGGCGCCTATTTTAACTAAATAAATTAGTTATTTAACATTTCAGAAGCGTTTTATTTACTTCCTATAAAGGGCGTCAATTCATGTATAACAACCTAATATTTCGTGATTGTAAGCAAAAACTTTCCTGATTAACCAAATAGTTTTTTTGAATATCTCTGTCACATGAGGTTTTCGGTTTTAGTCAAAATATTTGTGTAAATTACAATAGTTTTATTTTAGTCGGTCAAATGCCATAAATGATACACGCTCGGGTGAGCATGTCTCTTTCGATTCATGACTGATTAGGCAGATTTTCCGGCGGTAGGTTGCCATTTCCTTCTGCGGTTGATTTGTTGTCTACCAACGCTATAGGACTCTCTCCTAACATTCAACCCATACTTGGGGAGGGGGGAGAAGAGATGTATTCGTACTTTTTTTCCAATGGTATTTGTGCATAGGTGACGTGAAAATGCCCTTTTATCTGTTTACAGAAAGTAAAATGAAACCTAGAAAAAAACAAGCTGATACGACAGCTATTGTATTGCAATCAAAACTGATTCTTTTGAAGTTAAAATTAAACGCTCCTAATGCCACCTCACAGCAAAATATAGAACGAGCTGTTTGATAAGTCAATAACATTAGACGCGAAGTCATTAAAATTTACATCGTTGGATCAAGTCTGGGCAACAAACAACGATATTTTCTTTTACTTGTGTTCAAATGTTCCCTTTATTTTGTGGATGATTTTTTTTAAAAATGGCGGCTATTACATCTCGATCTTGTGAGATTGATAAAAAAAATCGAGCTACCATTTTACTTTTGTTTTTCAAAGGGAACGGAAACTACCTTTTTGAAAAAGCCTTCTTTTCTTCTTAATGAAAGCGGTCGTTTTTATAAGCGCTCGCAGCCAAATATTTTCTTTCGTTCACTTTCATTACTATCAACGTTACAAACAAGACATTTGTTATAAAGACTTTGTTTTTCTTGGGGCGTCGGCCTAAAATCAGTCTTGATACTTAATGCAAAAAATGGGCGCCATTTTTCTTTTCTCTTTTTTTCTTCTTCTTTTTTCTGTTTTGAACTTGGTAGTTCAAGTTGCAGATACCGAAATCAAACAAGTACAATTTAAATATCGGGTAAGCGTTTTAACAGAGGATGGAAAGTGTGACACTGAAATCTGAAGGCTCGTTTGACAGTTTCTTTTTAAAGCGAAACAAAGTGAATATCTAAGGAAAAAAATCAATTTATTTGAAAATAGAAAAGTTGCATGCCAGGTTATAATAATCAAAAGACAATTCACTCAAAGAAGTCCCCGCCCCCTCAGTATCTATCACGGCCTTGATCCAACTCCGGAATCTGGCACATGCGGCTTTGACGGTGTCCCTAGGGAGAGCTCCAAACGCCTCCTTAATTCGATCAGTTGGGCCTTGGTGTTACAGGCAGAGCGGTTGGTGTCTGTCTTTAGCGTGCCCCCACAGATAATAATTCATGGAATTACAATCAGGGGAGTTAGGGGGAAAGATATTGGGGCTGGTAGAATTGCAAAAAACTCTTTGGAGGTGTGGCAGAGAGCTGCCACACATATGGTCTTTCAGCAGTCACTATCTGCAAACAAGGCTTGACCCCGGTGTTCAGCAACTCCATATAACCATCCAAATGGAGCCTGAGACCCTGTTCAAAGGTGTGAGGTGGCATGACACATCCCAAGACCATCAGAGTTTGGGAAAACAGTCATCACACGAGGAACGTCATGTGGTTTGTAGACAAGCCGTCTATGGTTCTGGGTATTGTGCAGTTCGTCCTGACAAAAATTCTTCTCATCAGAGAATAACCCCATTGTCACTGGTTCAACAGGATGATTCATCTTGTTTAGGAGATTCTTTGCCTTTGTCAGACGGCTTCCTCGGGCATTTTCTGTAATAAGTTGACCTTTACACCTCTTCAAGTTTTGGTTCACCACTGCTGTGAACTGATAGTCAAGGACATATGACCCAGTGGATAAAGACGTTGGTTAGATCCAGTGACTAAACCAAAGAATTGTGAGTTCAATATCTGGCCACAGCTGTGGTGAACCACAACTTGGAGAGTTGAGTTAAAGGGAAATAACTGAGACCTCCGGACGAAATAAAGGGTTTGATTCGAAATTTCAATCACCTGAAGAAGGCCGGAGCGTACAAAGGCCGAAACGTTGTGAATACGGGAGTGGAGATGAGGATAACATTCCGAATAATGTAAGTAATGCAAGTGAAGAAATTGAAGAATATATTCTTAAGATGAGTGGAAAATCTATAGGTTTCTTAGCGAAATGGTAAAAAAGAATTTACAGTCTCCAGTTTGTTCGGTCGTAAAATTGTACTTCATTCTTCACTAGTAAGTTTTTTCTTTTTTCTTTTTCTTTTTCTTTTTCTTTTTCTTTTTTCTTTTTCTTTTTCTTTTTTTCTTTTTTCTTTTCTTTTTCTTTTTCTTTTTCTTTTTTCTTTTTTTTTTTCTTTTCTTTTTCTTTTCTTTTTTCTTTTCTTTTTTTTTTTTTTTTTCTTTTTCATTTTTTCTTTTTTTCTTTTTCTTTTTTTCATTTTTTTCTTTTTCTTTTTTTTTTTTTTTTTTTTTCTCTTTTCTTTATCTTTTTTCCTTTATCTTTTCTTTTTTCTTTTTCTCTTTTTTCTTTTTCTTTTTTCTCTTTTCTTTTTTCTTTTTCTTCTTTTCTTTTTTCGTTTTCTTTTTTCTCCTTTTTCTCTTTTCTTTTTCTTTTTTCGTTTTTTTTCTTTTTTCTCCTTTTTCTTTTTTTCTTTTTCTTTTTTTTTTTAAGCATTTACGTTGTGCGATCACATTCGTTGCTAACACCTAAATTTGAGCGCCTCACTAGCTAATAAAACTTTTTCCCTCTTTTATTTTACTTAATTCATTTCTGTTGGCTTTTATTTGCAGATCACAGTAAGCCGCAAAGATGCTTAACGACGCCGGGAAACCGAAGATCTTGAACGGGGTTCCATCCGACGAGTCGACAGCCTCGACCACAAACACGACAGTGACGACGACGACGACATCCACACCGACTATGAATGCCCCAAGCCCCAGTCGTCGAATTCCAGTCACACAGGCGGCCTTCGACGATATTCACCTGAAGAAAGACCGGAAACGAACATCCCTCACCGAGAAACTAAGGAGCAACTGCTACTGCTCGAAAAAGAGGCTATGGAAAATAGTCAGCTCTTACATACCGTTGGTGAAGGTGATCAGATACTATAAGCTGAAAGAGTATCTTCTTATTGACTTTTTGGCGGGAATTACGATTGGGATTATGCACATTCCCCAGGCGCTTGGATTCGGAATGCTCGCCTCAGTCAAAATCGTCAACGGTCTTTACACATCTTTCTGGCCGATCGTTTTATATTTAATATTTGGTACATCTCCACATGTATCTATCGGCACCAGCGCCGTGATTTGTATCCTTACAGCCGGCATCGTCGACCGTGAGTCTATCGTCTTCAAGAAGAGTTGGATGAATGGTACTACCTACCAGAATGATTCCGATTTCAATTGGGAATCTATCCCTCAGTTTATGGACTATAAAGAAGAAACAGCAATGGCAACGGCTCTCATAGCCGGATTAATTTTACTCATAATGGGGTTCTTAAAACTGGGATTTATAACTGCATATCTGTCGGAGTCTTTTTTTAGTGCTTTTACGTCTGGTGCAGCCGTTCATATAGCGACAAGCCAAATGGCGACAATGCTTGGTTTGATCATTCCTAAACACAGCGGTATGCTAAAAATCATTTACACCTACCGAGATATTTTCTCTAATATCGCGTCTACTAACGTAGCTGAACTAATTATCGCCCTTTGTACCATTGTGATATTGCTTCTCGTGAAGGACTGCATTAACGATAGGTTCAAGCATAAATTAAAGGTACCTATACCGATCGAGTTGATTGTAGTTGTGATGGGTACCTCTCTGTGCTATCTGTTTAAATTCAACACGCTTTATGATGTGAAAATAATCGGACAAATCACAACGGAGATACCAGTACCGAAGGTTCCCTCGATGGCCAGGGCCCAGAACATCCTAGTCGACAGCTTCATCATCGCCATCTTGATATTTGCAAACACCATCGCCATGGCGAAAATCTGCGCCAAGAAACACAATTACGAAGTGGACGACTCCCAGGAGTTGATCGCTTACGGCATGTGCAATTTCGTTAGCGCTTTCATGTTTTGTTTCCCTTCCAGCATTGCCCCACCCCGTTCATTGGTCGCCAGCTCGATGGGTGTCAAAACCAACATCAACGCAGTCTTCACCTCCATCCTTATGTTTCTTGTCCTTAGTGTCATTACCAGCCTGTTTGAGACTCTACCTAAAACAGTTTTAGGGGCTGTTATAACGATTGCCCTCAAGGGACTATTTATGCAGATTGCTGACGTCAAAAAGTTTTATCATATCAACATCTTCGATTTTATTATCTGGATGTCGACCTTCCTCGGCGTCGTCTTTTTAGACATTGACTATGGCTTATGCATTGGGGTGTGTGTTTCGTTGGTCACTGTTGTCTTCCAAACCCAGTTTGCAAATGGATACCGCTTAGGCCGTGTTCCTAATGAAGGCTTGATGGTCGAGCATAAACTTTATCTGTCTTCGCAGGAAATTAAAGGAATAAAAATATTTCGTTTTGAATCCAATCTTTACTTTGCCAACGCTGAAATCTTCCGAGGCCTCCTGTATAAAAAGACAGTGAATCCGCGTAAATATCTCAAACAATTACAGAAACGTGAAAAACAAAAACTGAAGAAAAATGTCAAGCCTCTTTTCAGTTCTGTGGATCTTTTGAATCGAACAAGCGATGTTAAAACTGAAGAAAAGAAGACAGAATGCCGTCTCGACAATCCCGTATTCTCTTTGTCATCAGAAGAGTCTCCATCGACAACTTCGAAAACCTCTCCTCAAAAAGGAGTAACCGGAAGTTCCGTGTCGTTCGTCTCATCCGGTCGCCCGTCGATCGCCCCGGTCAGTGGAATCAGACTGCAGGAAGGTCGACGGACATCTTGTACGCCCAGCATGGATTCCAGCATCGTATGTCTTGAAGAAGAGGAAGATCCCGAAGACGGAGGAGTGCTAATCACTGAAGAGAAGTTCAGTCTTATGAAATCCGTGCATCACGTGATTATCGACTTTTCTCGCGTGAACTATATGGATGCTTCCGGCGCCAATGTTCTCAGCCATATTTGCACAGAATACGAACACGTGAACATACGCGTCTTCCTCGCCTGCTGCAGCCACAATGTCCGGCAGACCATGCTCCACGCTGGCGTTATTGACCGCTATACCAAAAGCAACATATTTCTCACGCTCAGCGATGCTATTTCTCAAGCGAGAATCGAAAATGTGGAGAAAAAGAATGTAGATCTTTCTGATTTTTCTGACGAAGAAGCAGCAGAAGACTCATATATTACAAAACTCTAGCCTTTTACTTTACCAAAAAGAAAAGAGAAATATTAAACAGTAATCGCTGCTAACAAATGAGTCTATTTTAGCGCATCATATACATAGTGAGATTGTTGAATATCGCATATATTATGAAATGTTACGAAAAAAACTGATTGTTGGGATTGCAATGTCGGGGTATTTAAAAAATATTTCATCGAAGATACACACACACACACACACAAAAATATATATATATATATATATATATATATATATATATATATATATATATATATATATATGTATATATATACATATCCAAATGAAAATGAGAACGGATCAAATATAAATTCAAACATTCACAGCATTAATTTAAAATAGTTCTCAATACAATAGTAGAAGAAAAAATACTTTATTATCGGATATTACATTTCGAATATATGTAAAATAGCTACATAAATGTATTCATGTTTCGATGCAGATCATGTTCAATGTAATATCCTATAATAAAGTGTGTGTGTAATATATATATATATATATATATATATATATATATGATTGTGCCTTCCGCCCCCCCCAAAGAGTCGACCAGAGTATTTCTGGAAGATAAGGTCTTTAAGGCAAGCACTCTTTGTAATTAGAGAGTTCCGTATGAAGAGATAGAGTATTAATAGTAGTAAATAAAATTAAATGTTCACTTACACATACTGAGTTTCCCATATATATATATATATATATATATATATATATATATATATATATATATATATATATATATATAGTCATATTAGATTTATTTTAATCCGACATTTTTAAGACCTCAAACGATTTTTTGTGGATACCCATGTTTGAGTACATTCCGGTTTTGTTTTTTGTTTGTTTTTTTTTTTTTTTTTTTTTTTTTTTGTTAACAACCTGGAGGGCAGAAGTTTTCTCGAGTGTGGTAGACGTAATACACTGTTTAAAAACAGGACGTATGCTCAAACACTGGTATCAACAAAATAAAGTTTATATATATATATATATATATATATATATATATATATATATATATATATATATATATATATATATATATATATATATATATATGTATATGTAAAGAACAAAGACTGTTTCACAAAAGGAAACGATCGACCAAGGAATTTCTGGAAGATAACGTCTTTAGGGCAAGAAGTCTTTGTAGTTAGAGAACTTGACATCAAGAGATAGTGCATTACTAGTAATAAAGAAAACAAAATATTCACTTGTCTCTACTCGAGTAAGTATAAGTGAACATTTAATTATAATCTTACAATTAATTCCTCTGAAGGCTGGATGTAATATCCGTGAAACTGAGAAAGGATAAGTGAACATTTACTTTATTTGTTACTTTATGCTACAAAGAAAAAAGTTTTCCTTTACAAAACAGCTAATATATCTGTATAAACATTCCTTTTTCTTTTCTTAGTTATTGGTTTTAACTTTTTCAGACTTTTATTAACTCTATTTCTAACCAGCTGGGTTAAGCCCTGCTATTGCGCTAAAGGGTAAATCCCTTCTACTACAGTCACATCACAATTGCTGGCTATTTCTAGTGGAAGCTAATTAGGTTCCTCAGTCAGTTCCAAGAACTGATCCAAAATTCTGTTTATAGAATCGTTCCCTATACAATGTTGTCCGTAACATTTTTGTTGTTTTTTTTCTTTGGCAAGAATGCTCAGATTATAAGCACTGAAAAAGATCCTGTTCATAAACTGCATTTAAATCCCAGATTGGGTCCTAAATAATTTCCCTTTTTTTTTATTAACTTTATTCTTCCAAAATAAACTACCATTACAATTTGTTCAATTATATATTCACCCTTATCTGCAATGGATCCTGGCCATCAGGCAACTCTTCAATGCTTTTGAAGTAAAATTCCACAGGTTTTGATGCGAAAAAGCTTTCGACGGACTCTTTCATTAGAGAAACCATTTTTCTTTTTTCTAATCGTATTCGCCTCAAGCAATGTAGTAAAGCCACTAAGACACAATGGGTTACTAAGTGTCAAAGAATCGTAAAACAGAAACAGTAGATAATGATCGACATTGCATTTAAATTTTTGATGATCAAAGATGATCGGAAAGCATGGAACTAGATGTAAGGATTAACGAGCTAATAGATAATTTTTGACACCCTGTGTATCTAAATACCCAATACTTGTGTCCTTGTGGCAGACTAAAAACGCCTGGTATGAGGCGAGGGTTAGCAATCTAGTCTTGCAAAGTTTCTTTCTCTTCCTTTTTTAATCCCTTCCCCCCCCTAAAAAAAAACAAGGCAGTAAATCCTGTAAGACACAAGGGGTTACTTAGTGTGAAAGAACAGAAATATTACTAATGACCGGAAACAAAAAGTCATCAGGAGTACAGTAGATAGCGATTAACATTGAAATTTAAATTTTTGAAGATCAAAGTTGGTTGGAAAACATGGAGCTGGAAGAGAGTACCACAAGCAAGAAGTGCGAGAAAGATATTATCAACATAGAACTTAGGGTTACATCTAGCCGACTCAATTGTAAATCATCGTCAGTCTAGTACTGCGCTTAAATTCATAAAGTCTAGGTACCATAGTGAAGAGCTTATCCGAACAATTACCGTGGAAGTATTTATAGAAAAAGTCACAAGGAGGCAACTTTATGGCGGTGCGAAAGTGATTGAATTTGAGCCGCCATGTCAGGACCAATAATATTGCAGATTCTTCTTTGAATTTTATCAAGAATCTCTCAATATAAAGCAGGATCACCAGACCATACGTGATAGCAATATTTTAAGTCGACAAAAGGTAGACATAGATATATAAAATAGATTCTGGAGACAAGAACTGTCTAGCATGACACAGTGAACCAAATTTCTTGGCAGCAGACCTAGCAGGGATTCAATATAGTCTTTCCACTTCATGTCAGCCAGAGAAAGTGCATTGTGTCACTTTCATGGAGGTTAGCATCAGTCATGGAAGGCAGAGAAGGGGGGGTCTCTCAGATGATTAATTGAGAGCAGTTTTGTTTTGGAGACATTGAAGTTAACAAGCCATTCTTTGCACCAGTTAACAACAGATTGAAAGGAAGAGTAATCAGAAAAATAGTAGATAACGATTGACATTGCATTTAAATTTTTGAAGATCAAAGTTGACCGGAATGCATGGAGCCGGAAGAGTGCTCCACAAGCGAGAAGTGTGAGAAAGAAACTGTTAACCAATTCAATTGTAAATTGATGAAACCTCGTACTCTAGTACTACGCTTAAATTCATAAAGTCTAGGTACAATAGTGAAGAGTTCATGCAAACACTTACCATGTAAGTATTTATAGAAAAGGCACAGGGAAGCTACGTTATGACGGTGGGAAATGACTGAAGCCGAGATGCCAGATCAGGACCAATAATATTGCAGATTCTTCTTTGGATTTTATCAAGAATCTCTAAATATACAACAGGAGCACCGAACCATATGTGGTAGTAATGGGCTAATGGTAGATATGTAAGATTGATTCTGGGGAGAAAATTGAATCATTTTTCAACAATTGAAAAAGGTGCTAAATGTTGGCGCAAGACCAAATGAAAATGGCGGGTTGGGGGGAAATAGACCAGCCGAGTTCCAAACTATTTTCCTGTGTTATTCATTCTGTATGCGGCCTTGCGTTATCCTGTAGATATTTTTTTCTTTAACTCACTGTGTCCATTGAGACTGGATGTGCACTATGGCGTAATGGATATCGGCTCGGAATGAGAAATCCGAGAGCGGAATTCGAATTCCAGTCGGGTTCGTTACGTTCACTAATGAGCAAATAACCTTGGGAAAGGAAGGAATACTTCTCTTCTTCCCAACCCTCAATCAGTTACAGGTTGAATAGCAGGATAGACCGCAATCAGTATATTGCAAAAAGAAACGGCAACCTACTGCGGGAATATCTTCTGCCTAGTCAGTCATTAATCGAGGGAGACATGATCGCCCAAGCGTGTATCACGTATGACACTTAACTAAGTGACATTGAGACTACAATGCAAAGGTTAGGTAAACTAGTCTACACTAATCTTTATTCACGATTACGTATGATTAGTAATTGAGAGGATACATTGGTAATTACAATCTGTTCCCCCAAAACGGAAATTACTTATGATTCAATCTGATATATGACAACCTTGCACCAACACGCGGACTGTTGCCTCTCGTTCAACGAACGTGACAGTCGAAGATTAGCACAGGATGTGACCTAAACCAAATAACCAATCAACTTTGTGTGCCTAACAGAGACAGAAAAGGGATTGGTTGATGAACACACTGTTTGCTATAGATTAGGTATCTCGAAAACTTAGCTAAAAAAAATGAGCACACGTGATGAAAAAAAAAGCTCCAAACTTAATAAAAACAAAATTTTATTGTTAAAATTTTTGTGTTATTATTAAGAGGAAAGACCAAAGGATGTTTTTATATACATTTTTTTTTAAATCCATTTTTAGAACCTTGGAAATTTTGGTTAAATCTTTTTTTTTTTTTTTTTTTTTTTTAAACGTCAACGGGGGACCATAAATTTGTCAATTTTCAGCGTTTTTTTTACGCTGAAAACACATTGATGTGGAAATTCTTGCAAAAATCAGATAATTGTTTTTAATGAAACTTTTAGGACATATTCACAAATGAATGTAGTTATTTTTGTAACTTTTTTAGAAAATCTTTTTTTTTTCTTACTTCTGTACACCCCCCTACACTTTAATTAATTTTATGAAATTTCAAGAAATTCTTTTATTTTTTTTTTTTTTTTTCGCGCTGTTTCTATCAGTCAAAAGAACAAGTCCTTGGAGAATTTAAATGATCAAATTTAGGCGGTTAAAGAAGACGTCCTGCTCCCAAAAATCTGTTCTGAATCTTGCAATAAAAATTCAATAAAACTAAGACATTATTTAATCAGAAAATCTTTTAATGGCTTTTATGAATAAGATTTATTATGAACACTATTGACTTAAGAAAAAAAACTTTTTCGATGAATAATGAATTTTTACGATAATTTTCATTTATTTTTGTT